TTTTTTTTTTTTTTTTTTTTTTTTTTTTTTTAGTGATTAGTGTTATTTAATATATCCTATGAGGGATATAAATATGTTTATCTCTGCGCTAGACATATAGCTTGCTTCGCTGTAAGTTATGGGTATAGTGAGAGTAAAGTATAATATCTTTGATGGTAGCACAGGAGCATTCACTTGGTGTTGACGGGCTGCATGCAGGCAAGCCCCAGCAATTCTCAACACTTCTATACAGGTGCGATGCATGCAAAGAAAAAGAATTCTCGGTTGTGCCTGCATGCGCCCCCGTCGCGCAGCATCAGCTACTCCGAGGCGAGCTGCAACTCGTGAGGCTCCGCCCCCCCCCGCCCGCCGCCTCATATGTTGCTCTGCTGCTCCTGAGGGGCCTGAAGACACCGAGTGGGGTTCATCTACTTTTAGAAAACTTATTTCTTTTAGTCTTTTGGCCGCAGCGATGCTCGCAACATTCCTTGAGTGTGGGTCGAGGCCCCGCCGTACGCGTGGCTGCACCGCAGCAGCACAGCCTACAACCCTGCAGCAGGGGGGGCTAGTTCATAGCAGCAAAAAACATCTTTACCAGCACCCTAGCCCTCTCCCTTTCATGCTAGAGACTGAGCATGCTCTGCTCTGGGGTGGGGAGGAGACTCGCCGCCACCGCAGCGAAGAGAAACACCGAAGACTGCGGCATCTCAGCCCTTGCTAAGTAGAGTTTCACCACAGCCTCAGTAGATCATCCAGAGATGACGATCGCCGCGGCCTTGAGCCACTGAAATAATTTCTGTGTTTCTATACAACCCTAGAGGATGATGAAACACGAGGATTTGTTAAAGACCCAGAGGTAGTGCCTGTGCATATTGGAGCTGTGAATGCCATATCAACCCAAAAGGGGTTTATATTTCAGCGGTAACGGACGCAGCAGCAAGCAGATTGCTCTGAACCCGAAAGGCCCGGAGAACATACCCAGCGGCGTGAACTCTAGCTTTTCTAGATTTTTGCGTGTCTCTGTATTCCCGAAGTTTTGACTTTGCTTTTTTTTTGCAAAAAGCAAAGTCAAAACTTTGTGGTTACAGAGACAAGCAAAAGTCTAGAAAAGCTGGAGTTCGAGTAGGTACGAAAGGGGGACAAACCAAACGATTGAGGAAAGACCAGAGCTCTCATGCAACCTGCGGCGCATCGATGGAGCCGAAGGAGATGTCAGCTGTTTCCATATATCTATCGCGAGTTAGTTCTGTGCTGAGACAAGCTCGTACGAATGCTCAGGAGTTGCTAGCTAGCTACTTGATGGCGGATATGAACTGAGTCTGCCGTCGAAGGCCAAGACAAGGAGATGCAACCTAACTATCTTTTCATTGCCGCTTTCTCTTAGCCGATGTTTTGCCTCGCTTGCTAGGACTGTCAGCAGCAAAAGCAGCGAAACACACCCAGACACCTGATTCCTCAACACTTCTGGGTGGGTAGC